TAATATCTTTCGAGTTTCACTAAATTCCATAAATGGGTAATCCCTTCTTCTTATAAAGTTTAAGACCACTTATAATAGTTAAAATGCTTTTATTTTGATTAATACTTATTGAAACCTCACAGCATCACTTAAATAATCTTGTTTGCAAAGCCTATCAGAAGCCCGGTTTTCTAAAATGTGAAACCAAAGACTTAAAATGATCAAATCTTTAAAAATCTTTACTTTGCTTTTATTTATTTTACCTTGGAATATTGCAGTATTATCCGAAAGCAGTTCTATAGTAATGAAAAAGCTTCGCATCGAAATATTTCAAATAATTTTTCTTCCCCATTACGAAGCTACTAAACATTTTCCTCGTGTTGCTTCTGTTACTAAATTACAAATTATTTATGATCTCACTTCTTTAAATTATCATATTTTTCTCCATAGGTTTCTAAATAAAATGATTGATTGCACTGATATTTTAAATACAATTCAGTTTTCTGTAAAGTGTCACATAAAAACATGTGAAATAAAAAAATCATTTGCAAGCTCATTGTAAAATTATAATTAAGTAAAAAAAATAGTTTATACAAATTTTATGGCATTTTTAAAGGACTTGCTAAAGACCTTACTATTTTTAATCTGTTTTTTCAATGTTTTTTATTTAAACTTCTTATTGGTTTAAAGACATTGTTTTTTAACTTTGCATCACCGTTCTTGATTTATCTTATCTGAAGTATGTATTCCATAGTTCGAAAATAGAATAAAATAAAAAAATATTTCGATCACTTATCAACAAACTTATATTATAAATTATTGGAAAAAAATCCTAAAATTCAAATAACGCACAGGAATTCCCCTTCCTAAGCATTCCATCATTAGCTGATGATAAAGAATGTGGTTGTTTGTAACAAGCAGAGAAAATTTCGAAGAAAGATATAATATTGTTCATTTCAGACATTGAAGATTCAGATTGTAGATTTTAGAAGCTCTACATTGAAATTAAGCAAACATTATGAGCCAGATATTTAATAGCTTTTGTTCCTGCCCACAGCACGAACAGTGGAAACTTCTACTCGACTAGATGATAGGTACTTGATGGGTACTTTACTACGTCGCACTAAAGTTGCACAATGGGCTATTGGCGACAGTCTAGGAAACATTCCAGAGGATGATGCGAAGACATGCCATCACAATTTCGATCCTTAGTAAAGGGGATGGCTTACTTGCCTTAGTAGCTCGACGACCTACCCGCGAAGTCGAGCACTTTAAGGTAGAACATTTTAACAAGGAATGATACCAACCTCGGTTCCTATGCAGACTGATTAAAGTAGTCATTCACCCTCTTACTGACAGCAGCCAGTGATGCTTAACTTCGGTATTCTAATGGAAACTGTGTCTTTACGATCAGTCCACTGCGGGACACTAGATGATTGTTAAAACTAATTATTGAAGAACTTGTAATAAGAGCTTGTAGTTTTATGCAGATTTACAACAGGCGTAGAAACACCAAACAATGCCGTCTGCAAATGTTATAATTATCTGGGGCATCGGAAGTCCTCTGATCGGTCAGGAGAAAATTTCCTTCCACTTCAGATCTATGTCTAAATAGAGGAAGTGGCCTCTCAAACTGTGATGACATGTCTTCAATAACTTCAGACAGTCGCCAATAGTTCATTGTGCAGCTCTAGTGAGACATAAATAAAGTACCTACGAACCTTCCACGGTAAAAGGAGCAACACACATCATGTATCTTTCTTATCAATAACCATTATGAGATGACGTCATCTCAATCGTCATTGATTTAATATAAATACACGAACCTGTGTTATAAAACATAACACTAAAAACATATGTCCCGCAGTGGACTGATTGTTAAGACACGGTTCCCAGCAGATGACCTAAGCCAAGCATCACTGGCTACGGTTAGTGTGCGGGTGGGTGACCACTTGGATTAGTCTGGGTAGGGACCGAGGGTGTGCGGTATTGGTCCTCGTTAAACTGTGCTACCGTAAAGTTCTCGACTTCGTGTGCAGGCCGTCGGGCTACCGAAGTAGGGGTGCCATCCCCTCTGCAGAGTATCAAAATTGTGATGGCATGTCTTCGGATCATCCTCAGGGATGTTTCCCAGACCGTCTCCAATAGCCCATTGCGCATCTCTAGTGTGACGTAAATAAACTTCAACTACACCGACTAAAAACATATAAATACAAAAACCCATAAATGCCCCACACTATATAAACAACCGTAAAATAACCAAGTAATAAAATTCCCAGCACGTTCTAGAGTCGTGCACCCAACTTTCTGCCTTTTATTTCCTCTATTCCAAGATCAGTCTATAATTATAATCCTAGTAACTAAATAGCACAAATTTTAACTTCAACACCAAAACACACACAAAAAAAACTTTCTTTTTAAAATTTCAGTTTGAAAACACAGTACGATATGTAGATGAATCTGCATGCATTTATAACTAATACATAAAACGATTCTTAAGGTCCATGCAGAAATGAACAGCAGGATTAACACAACGACAGGCAAGAATTAACACACCAGATTAAAGGGGGAACCCGAAAAATTGAACACCATGCTACATTAACACTTCGAAGCATTGGGCGAAACGATAACATTTCATGACCGTTGAAATATATATATATATATATATATATATATATATTTATTGGATACACGTCTTG